AGTAACTACCAGCAACTACTAGTAAATACCAAAAACTACTATCAACTACTAGTAACTACTAGTAACTACCAGTAACTACTAGTAACTACTAGTAACTACCGATAACTACTAGCAACTACTAATAACTACTAACTAGTAGTAAATACCAAGAACTACTATTAACTACTATTAACTACTATTAACTACCGACAACTACTAGTAACCACCGATAACTACAAGCAACTACCATTAACTACTAGTAAATACCAGTAACTACTAATAACTACCACTAACTACTAGTAACTACCGATAACTACTAGCAACTACCAGTAACTACTAGTAAATACCAGTAACTACTAATAACTACCACTAACTACTAGTAAATACCAAGAACTACTATTAACTACCAGCAGCTACTAGTAACTACTAACAACTACGAGTAACTACCACCAACTACTAGTAACTACTAGTAACTACAAATAACTACTAGTAACCACTAGTAACTACCAACAACTACTAGTAACTACCAGTAACTACTAGTAACTACCAACAACAACCACAAACTACTAGTAACCACTAGTAACTACCGACAACTACTAGTAACTACCAGTAACTACCGACAACTACTAGTAACTACCGACAACTACTAGTAACTACCACTAACTACTAGTAACTACCAATAAATACCACCAACTACCAGTAACTACTAGTAACTACCGACAACTACTAGTAACTACTGAGAACTACCATTAACTACCAGTAACTACTAATAACTACCGACAACTACTACTAACTACCAGTAACTACTAGTAACTACCAGTAACTACAAGTAACTACCGATAACTACTAGGAACTACTAGTAACTACCAACAAGTACCAGTAACTACCAGCAACTACTAATAACTACCAGTAACTACTAGTACATACCAAAAACTACCATCAACTACTATTAACTACTAGTAACTACCAGTAACTACTAGTAACTACTAGTAACAACCAATAAATAGCACCAACTGCCAGTAACTACTAGTAACTACCGAGAACTACCATTAACTACCAGTAACTACTAATAACTACCGACAACTACCAGTAACTACTAGTAAATACTAGTAACGACTAATAACTACCACTAACTACTAGTAAATACCAAGAACTACTTTTAGCTACCAGTAACTACCGGTAACTACTAGTAACTACCAGTAACTACTAGTAAATACCAAAAACTACCATCAACTACTAGTAACTACTAGTAACTACCATCAGCTACTAGTAACTACTAGTAACTACCGACAACTACTAGTAACTACCAGTAACTACTAATAACTACCACTAACTACTAGTAAATACCAAGAACTACAAGTATTTACTAGTAACTACTAGTAACTACCGACAATTACTAGTAACTACCAGTAACTACTAGTAACTACTAGTAACTACCACTAGTTATTAGGGAGAAGACACAATACTACATATTACACAGAGTGTATATTACCGGTGCACTTGTGGCTTTCTACCATGAAGTATATACCCTTAAGTGCAACAATTTGCCAACGGGCAGTGCCTGTGGCATTGCGTTAAATTATATGCGCGCGCCGGTTTTCCCTCGTGTGTGTGATTATCGCATCAATCTTGCTGTACGAGCGATTTCGTTTATATTAATGCCGTTAGAGTTCCTTCGTTGTGACGTTCCTGTCTCTTCAAAGCCACTCGTTACCCACGTCTCCGAGAGCCTGAGAACCGTCTCGTTGATCCAAGCAACGACGAGTCTTCCTATCCTGTGGTCGATTGAGTGAACTCTTACAATCACATCATGAATTCTAATAGATCTCCAAAGCAGTGGTCCCTCACAAAGAACGAAACCATTACTACATTCGAAGCTTGGAGACAGAATCTGCAATATTTCCTTTCTCTCGATGTTAATTTTGCCCCGTTTTTAGCTCACAATTTTAGGTGGCTGAAAAAGTCTTCTACTGCTCCCAATATAGGACTCGAGCCTGATGGCGACGACGTTCCTACCACTCGCCGACGTACTGCCTTTCAGAAAAACTTACACCTTGACCTCATGTTGGGCCAGATAGCCAACTTCTGTACCGTTATTTCACGTAGTTCAATCGTGAACAATTCAACTTCCATCAGCTCCGTTTGGTAAGCCATATGGTCGTTTTAACTTAGTTAAAACTCTTACAATCCGACCTACCCGCACTCGTAAAACAGCGCTATGGCACAGAGTTAAGATCTAAGACTCTGGCCTCCTTGAAACCCGAAATTTCGCAGGCTTTGGATTCCTTTCTGGAGGAAATTCGCAGTACCGCCGACCAAAGTCCTCCGCACCACAGCGTCGCGGTTCAGACACCCACCGCCTCGCCCTTCGCCCAAGCCTTCTCCCCAGCCATAGGCTCCTACCAAGCGACCAAAGTCCTGTCCACTTTGTAGGCCAGTCGTAATGACCATCCAGAGGACCGTACTTTTCTGTCTCGGTCTCGCTTCATGTCTACCTTTGACGACGAAGATCCTGACTATATGAATTATTCGCCCCCTCTCTTCACGGCCGAACATGAACACTCATTATTTACCTCAGAACGCTCGGTCTCACGTCGCGTTAGTACTAAAGTCACCTTACTTCGAAGCCTTCTACAAGCATTACCCAGTTCAGCTCACCCTCGACACAGGTGCGGAAACTAGCATGATGAAGTCTTCTCTAACCCGTTCCATAGGCGCACCCATCACGAAGTCCTCCCAGCAAGCTTTGCAAGCCGACGGTCTGACTCCTTTAGCTGTAGCTGGTGAAACTCGCCTCATCTTATCCCGTGCTGACAAACATCTCGCTCTTGACGCCCTCATTGTAGATGACTTAGATGTAGACGTCCTTGCAGGCACAGCCTTTCTTATCGCCAACGATATCTCTGTTCGTCCTGCTAAGTGCCAAGTGGGTATCCAAGACTCCGAGGGCATCCACTATGAGCATAGGAGTGATCCAACCACTGCTTCCCATGCTGTGCGACGTGCGCAATGTTACACTTTACGCGCACCATCGTCTACGACTGTCCTTGGCCTGGTGATTACGTAGAGCTGGACGTTCCCCCCGACCTTGGAGAAGATCATGTACTTGCCCTTCAGCCACGCACAGACACCCCAGTGCCCAAACGTACCAAAAGTACATGAAGAAGCTGTCCGCGCCAAAGTCCGTGTAGTCAACAATTCTCAAGAACTTAAACTCATCGGTCGCCACGAACACCTCAGTCAGATCCTACCTACAGAGGAGACATCGTCCTTTACCTCCACCCCGTCTCTCCCCAGTCTGCCTCAGCCTGTAAAGCCCAAGAGTTCCCTACCGTTCTCGTCTAGCGTGTCCATTGACCCCGACAACATACTGCCCGAAGATCTCCGCGTCAAGTTCCGACAGCTATTGCATACCTATGATCGCCTCTTCGTTCCTGACATAACTAGTTACAACGGCGCTGCTGGTCCCATTCTAGCGTCCGTGAACATTGGCCCTGTACCCCCCAACGAAAAGGCCGCGTTCCCCAGTACTCGCTGAACCAACTCGTAGAGTTCCAAGTTAAGTTTGATGAACTTGAACAAGCCCAGGTCCTCCGTCGCCCCGAGGGTCTCGGCATAACCTCCGGTGGCCACAGACTCGTAACAGCTTTCGCCGACGTCGCACGATACAGTAAGCCTCAGCTATCACTAATGCCTGATGTTGACACCACCCTGCGCACTGTCGCTCCCTGGCGCTACATGATCAAAACAGATCTCACCCGTGCCTTTTACCGGATCCCCCTCTCCAAGTCGTCTCTGAAGTACTGCGGCGTAGCCACACACTTCCGTGGAATTTGCGTCTACACCACATCAGCTATAGGAATGCCTGGGTAAGAGACTGCGCTTGAAGAAATGATGTGTCGCGTTCTCGGTGACTTCATTGAAGAAGGCTTCGTGGCCAAACTTGCAGACGACCTCTACTGCGGTGGCGATACCCCCGAAGCCCTCCCGAACAACTGGCGACGCGTCCTTCAGGCCCTCGATCGTTGTAACCTTCGTCTTTCTCCCACAAAGACCTTTATTTGTCCCAAGACCACCTCTGTTCTCGGCTGGATATGGTCCCAAGGCAGGTTATTAGCTAACCCGCATCGTATCGCCGTCTTGGCATCGTGTCCTCCTCATTCAACCGTGAAAGGTCTCAGGTCTTTTATCGGTGCCTACAAAGTCCTCAGTCGCGTGCTGCCCAACTGCTAGTTTCTTCGGTGCCAAGTTGCGAAAACACCAAGTTACTTGGCTTCCCTGTTAAGTAGAAGCATTGTCAATTGCTGCATCCATCAAGCATTTCTCCCCTTTTATTATCCAGTCTCCGCATCCAACGACCGTATTAACAGATAGCAAACCCTGTGTTCAAGAGATTGACAAACTTTGTCGAGGAGAATTCTCGGTAAGTCCTCGTGTGACTTCGTTCCTCACGACCGTCAGCCGTTACCAAGTCAATCTTCAACACCCGCCTGGGAAGGCCAACTTACCGTCTGACTTTACCAGCCGTAACGCTCCTGACTGCAGTGAGCCTAATTGCCAGATCTGCAACTTTGTCCACGAAATGGAGGATTCCGTCGTACGGAACGTCTCAATTCATGACATCCTCAACAGCAAGTCTAATCTCCCGTTCACAACCAGATCAGCCTGGCAACAGATCCAACACGACTGTCCCGACCTTCGTAGAGTACACGCCCACCTTAATCGAGGCACACGCCCGTCCAAGAAGCTTAGAACAAAAACAAGAACCCAGTCGCCGAGAAGGCTGTCCGTGAACTTGAGGAAGAGCTCATCAGACAAGAGCCCGATGGCAGACCGGTAAGTGCAGTTGGCCTTGCTCTCGCCACTGCCCGTATTAACTCCCGTCTTCGCCTTCCTGGCCTATCATCTCGCGAGTTGTGGAGTCAACGCAATCAGTTCACGCACGAACATTTGCCGTTGCTGATTACGACCTCATACTTGGTAGACACGAGCAACGTTCCACTAACTATGCCTCCAGTTAGAAGTCTAAGAATCCCCGCGGTCTTGTTCCAAACACGCCTTCTCTACACGTTGGCGACATTGTGTACCTCATTTCCGATAAGGACAAGTTTCGCGCGCGTGATCGCTATATCGCGGTTTCCATTGACTTTCTTTGGTGCTTCGTTAAGAAGTTTAGTGGTTCACAACTGAGGGCGCCCTCCTACAAAGTGAAGTTGTCCGAGTGTTACGCAACACCTCCCTCCGTTATAGTGTCCGATCATTCTGGTCTCTAGGCCTCTCAAGACCAGGATGACGAGCCTTCTGCGGTAACCCCCGCTGTACCTGCAGCCTCAGTATCACCAGAGTCACCTCCTCCCGCGCCGCCTGAGCTTACGTCCGTGCCGTCTGACGAGGAGCAATTCCCTTCGTCCTCATGTGATGACACTACCTTTGATGCCCCTATTGGCGTTCCCGCTGTACCTGTTCTACAGGAGGAGCCCAGCACAAGTGTGACAGCCCCAGATCAGGCCCTGCTGTCCTGTCCCAGTTCTTCTCCTGAGACTCCTGGCCCAAGACCTCAAAGACAGCGCAAACCACCTTCGTACTTAAATGACTATGTTAGGTTTTAGCCTTTACGTCGTTAAGTTTTATCCTGCAGCGACAAGTTTTATCATGCAGTGACTGTTAAACCGTAGCCTGTTTGATATCAAATTTTGTTCTACATTATGGCACTATATCTTTTGTCTCGGTTCTCACCTTTCACTTACGCGGAAGAAGAGGTTGCGCCAACAAGCAGTGCCTGCGGCATTGCGTTATATTATATGAGCGCGCCGGTTTTCCCTCGTGTGTGTGATTATGGCATCCATCTTTTGGTACGAGCGATTTCGTTGATGTTAATGCAGTTAGAGTTCCTTCGTTATGACGTTCCTGTCTCTTCAACGTTGGCGCTAAAAGATTGAAGTAGGGCATAGCATTGTCCCTGCTATAAGTAAAGAACGTGCTGCGAAGACATTTATTCTGTTTCGTTTTAAAGTTATGTAACCTGGTCTTACAAGCACTACCCCAGCTAATGTAATATCATGAGTTAAATATGGATAAATGAAGGAGAAATACAACTGCCTTAAAGTGTGAAGATCTACGTAATATCTTAATTTATTAATGATGCCAACATTTTTCACAAGCTTGTTGTCCATGTGTTGTGTTGAATCTGTGGTCCCCAGTGTAAATTTTGATCAATATATACTTAAAAATTAATTTCAATTCCTCATTCATGACTGTTTCAAGATGTTGTAACTTATCACGTGTGTAAAACATATTTGTGTCATCAGCAAAAATTCGAAATGATAGTTTCTTCGAGCAGTTTGTAGGCAAGTCATTATTATAAAGTAACATCCGTTGTTTTCTATAGGTAGCTCGAACATGGGCACAACATTGCATGGAGGGGACAGGGGAGGAAAAGCTATATTTCCTCGTTTTGCAGTCAGTAAAACGAAAAAAAGCCCAGTTTACGGCGAAGTGTCTCAATTCATTTTGTCGCCGATTGTAGAATATTCGCCGAATCAAATTCAATGGCGAAAGCGTGAGCACGTTAATGACATCAATAAACTATGTGAGCTTAGCAATCCTCCCAAGACGTCTCTCAAGTGCATCCATAACTCAACAGTAAACAATGAAGCGTTTACCATGTGTCCTACGAGGAAATTTAAGAGAAAACTTCTGAATTTGTTAACCGATAGTAGGGAAAAAGATGTGAGTGTTGTTGTTGTTGTTGTTGTTGTTGTCTCTGCGGGCTATGGCGTGTGCAAATCGTTCTTTGCAAGGCTTGCAAAGTTATTTCTTTTGAAAAGAATTTTTCAGTGAAGTAATAGTTTTCCGGCACCTCAATATGGATTTTACAATCTTTTTTAATGTTATCCTAAGCGACTTGAGTAAACTCTCTCTCAGTTTCAAGACAAAACCATCACTGTCAGGTATTCCGTAAAGAATATAGTCACGTAGACGCGTACTGCTTTGAGCGCGCGCTGCAATAATAAAAATTTAAGTTACTGCTGTATTGATCGCTTTGATTATGTTATAAAACCATTAGTTCATGCCTCATCTGTGCGTATGTGTGGACTTGGGAAGTTTGGAGAGCACTCAAAAGTCTAGAGTTGCTCTCTAACTTACGTCTGTCTCGTGCTCTCGAAACCTCTCGCGTGCTCAATTTCTCGACTTACGCACGCTGACGATTGAACTAATTGTTAAGTCTCCTTCGCAGATCTTCGCAGGCGCTTGGGCCGGAGTCACGCAATGCTCCCCGCGGCCCAAGCGGCTGCGAAGGAGAAAAATCATTTATAGACTCTGTATGGGAAATTCTCAAACCGTTTAAATAAGGCATTAATGTAAAAATAATTTTACTTTCCTCAACTTGAGATTGTTGTAGCATTTTGTAAACTATGGCCATTTTATACGCTTTTGCGATTCGTTGTTCTTTTGGTTTTGATTTCCTGTAGGAGGTTACTGCATCATTGTGTCAAACCACAACTCGTAAATCGCTTTCGCATCAGAAACAATTACACATAGATTTGCCTTGAAAATACCAAATCATAATGCCAGATACGTTTCTCATCTGTCACGGTGATTACAATACGATTTAGTCCGATTGTTTGGTCGGAGAATGTTTTGTAAACTTTCGATTTTGGGCAATCTGCATTCCAAGCGCTCGAGGTTTTCGACAGCTACGCATTACTTGGTGGTCATGAATACGACCACTCATACTCTAATCTCATTGGCCAATTTCAAAGACCACTCACTTGCAGTCAGCGGACTATCTAAGGGTGGAGGATCCATGTTTTGTCACGGATAACTGAAAAATTGTGCCCCCAGATCAGATCCATCTTGTGCCTAATACCTTTGAGCAAGCCAGTCATACTGGTCTTCCCATCATAGGCACAATTATCAGTGACAAAAAGGAGATCGAATTATTGTTGCTTTTTCTGCTTAGAGACCACTAATATGAATTATCAGCTTGAGTTTTCTGAAGTGACCACTCAGTCAATCTGGATTTCATGCTTTGTTAGAAACTTTATTAAATACTGTAGATTGCTAGTTTCTTGTTGTTTTCTGGACTAAACATAAGTATGGAAAAGACAGAGGTAATGTTATTGCATTTAGAAAATGCAAAAAAATTAATTCTAAAGGGATTCTAAAGGAAGCTAAGGTCGAATTGCTGGAACTGGAGAGATATAACAGTGCTTTGGCGAATGCAGATTATAATATCATTTGTTGTTCCAATATTTTATGTCGATTAGAGCTAGAGAGCTGAATCGTTTTTTGTTATGTATTTAGTGTCTATTCTCTTACGGTAAAACACGATCTACCATTCGCAAAAATAAGCAATATGATGTAAATGTCATTATTTTTATCTGAAATGATGGTCGACTGTGGTGAAGACCGTTAACGTTGACACACGTTTAATTCGACGTTGCCATGTTGTAAAATTTCATTACTATTCCTCTGGAGTCAGTGAATTTTGAACTTGTCCACGTAGTTATCAGAACCACCGAAAAAAGCTAAGGAGTAAGAACAAAAGCTGAAAAGTAACAAAAAAGCGTCTTTAGTCACATAACTTGCATAAATAGACATATATTTCACTGAGATCGGAGTAATTATTTTATTTTCTACATTTTTAGAGCGTAAGGATGATTAAAGCATTTTTGTTACTGCTTTCTTGAGTGAGGGAGGCATATTTTGTCAAATGCTTCCATTAAAAAGCAAAATTCTCGCAAATTACAACATAACTAGTCGGAAATGTCAGCTGTCTCCACCTTCTAACCCGCGGCCCCTATGGGTTAGGAGATGGAGAAGGCTGACATTTCAGACTACAACTTTAAACAAAAACCTGGTCTTTTTCGTTTGCCCATTTTAAAACACAAGAACTTAACAAAAAACAGCTTGTTGAGAGGAAAAAATACACCTTGTTTCATCAGATTTAATAAGTGGATACAAGGGCTATGGAGGGGGCTATAGAGGTATGAAGGACTCAGAAATCCGTTGCAAAATTTTTAGACACTTCGGCGAAAAACCGCCCGTTTTTACTTAAAATCTGTGCTAGGCACAATTCTTTGGGATTTAGCAATCACGCTTGCCTCCCGTTTATTTTAATTCACTTTTCCAGGTTGTACTTTAAGTACAACGGCAAACACTACAAACAGTTACACTGTACAGCAATGGGCTCTCCAGTTTCTGTTGTTGTAGCAGAAATTGTAGATTAGAGTCATCATCCAAAAATTGGAAATCAAAAATGGATGAAGAATTGATGAATTCATTAATATAAATCAGGAGTAATACTGGGCCAAGCACAGAGCCTTTTGGTACCCCATATGTCATTTGTAGTAGATCTGAATCTGAATTTATTTGCTGTCTGTTGGTTAAGTATGAGCGGAAACAATCCGTATTGGTCCAGTTTAGCAAAGAAAATGTTGTGATCTACTGTATCGAAAAGTACAAAAATCCCGCAAGAGTATAATTCATTTTCAATGGCTCTTTGAATTTTATCCGTGACAGGCAAAGAAGCCTGAGTAGTGGAGCGTCCACTGCGAAAACTAAATTGATTCTCATTTAGTATATTATATTGATCAAGAAAATTAACTAATCTAATAAACTTTAGCTTCTCCATTATTTTATGAAAACAGTGAACGAAGTAATTGGTCTATAATTGGATACTAAAGCCTGGATTCTACTTTTGTATAGAGGAATCGCTCTCCCGATTTTTAAATTATCTGCAACTAAGCCCAAAGAAAAAGAACAATTAAATAAATACGATAATGCATAACACAAGACGGTCGTCAATAATTTAAGAATTTTCACTGAAATGCTATGTTGCGCCAGTGCTTGACTTGCATTCAAGCTAGCAATAACATTTTCAACTTCAGTTGGTGATACTGGTGATAATTGAAAACAAAGGTTCTATTGCCAGGTTGAACACCATTGGCCCAACTGAGGCAAAATATTTGTTAAAGGCATTAACTATACCTTTGGCGTCAGTTAAGATGTTACCATC